TTTTTTGAGACAGAGTTTTGCTCTTGTTGCCCAGGCTGGAGTGCAATGACATGATCTTGGCTCACTGCCACCTCTGCTTCCCGGGTTCAAGCGATTCTCCTGCCTCTGCCTCCTGAGTAGCTGGGATTACAGGTGTGCGCCACTACGCCTGGCTAACTTTGTACTTTTAGTAGAGACAGGGTTTCTCCATGTTAGTCAGGCTGGTCTCGAACTCCTGACCTCTGGTGATCCACCCACCTGGGCCTTCCAAAGTGCTGGGATTACAGGTGTGAGCCACCGTGCCCAGCCGAGACGCTGTCTCTTAAAAAATAATAAAAATAAAAGTAAAAAATAAAAAAGACCATCAAAGACTACTGTAGAAGAACAAGACAGAGGCTAGAGCTTAAGGAAATTGGCCTCAGAGCAGCATGACGCAGGAAGGTACTTCAAGCAGACTAGCTTTGGGGTCTTCATTATTGAAGAATGTCTGTAGGTCCTGGAACAAGAAGACCCAGTCCTTGCTCCCTGGCATGGCAGCACCTGAGAAGAGAGCAAGACCCTAGAGAGGCCTGGCCACATGGTCTATCTAGAAGCTAGGACCCCAGGCCATAGGATGAGGCAAGGATGAAGAGCAGTCTGTCAGTACCTGGGCATGAAGGGACGGTGCAAATGATGGGACAACTCAAAGCCCCCTCCAATCTCATCCAGAATATAAGATCTTGGAACCACAATGCAAGCTTGAAGATGAGAAATAAGCTAGGTTAATTTTCCCACCAGTCAGATGGGATCAGAGCATATAATTGGAGTTTACCTTTATTTAAGAATATAAATAAATGTGATACTTCCTACACATATGAATTTATAAATTGAGAGTCATACCTGCTGCAATTGCTACAGTTCATGTGTGAAAAGATGAGAACTGGATTAGAATGATTTCAACGACAAGACAAAGACATAAAAGTCCTAGTGATATACAGGAATGAAGAACAGAACTAGATTTGCCCAGAATCTACAGCAAATCCCAGGACACATTGAGAATGCACGAAGTTTTTCCTTGTTTCTGTTGCTCTCTGCCCGTAGGCATTCCTACAGGGGACTCAAGTAAATGCTTTATGAGTTAGTCTTAGCATCCATAAGTTATGATGAATGCAACTTAAAAAAAAAGCTTTGTTCTCTCCCAAGGCTGTATGTTACTGCTCAGGTGGACAGGGTAATTAAAAAAAAAAAAAAAGGAGAAAACTTAGTCACTGAGTTTTTACTTTGTGTCAGAAATGGTAAGGACTAGGAACATTAAGATTACTAAATCTCTGTTCCTGCCCTTAACGTGCTCATTATCTATTCAGCGGAATGGCCATTCCAGCAAATAATTAAATCTCCTGTGATGCGTTGTGACAGAACTGTGGATACGTTCTCTAGAAGCACAAAGGATCAAGTGACAAACTCAAGAAGCCAGAGAAGTCTTCATAGAGAAGGTGAGTTTAAGTGGTAGGCTTTACAGGATGAATAGGAGCTCACCATTTGTTTTGTTTTATTTTGTTTTGTGGCAGGGTCCCGCTCTGTCACTAAGGCTGCGGTGGTGTGATCTCAGCTCACTGTAACCATTGCCTCCTGGGCTCAAGTGATCCTTCCACCTCAGCCTCCTGAGTAGCTGGGACTGCAAGCGTGCACCACTACACCAGCTAATTTTTGTATATATTATTTGTAGAGACGGGGTTTTACCATGT